ATTAATACCATTAGTAAATCTTAAGGAAAGGAATTCCATACAAAGAATAAAAAGGTAAGGGGAAAGAGGATCTCCCTGTCGGATACCCCGAGAGGGGAGGAAGCGATCTGTGGTCTCTCCGTTGACCAGAATAGACATGCTGGTGGAGGAGATGCAGGACATGATAAGGGAAATGAGGTTAGGAGGGAATTGGAAAAAAATAAGGGTCTCCCGAATAAAACTCCATTCAAGTTTGTCATACGCTTTCTCCAAATCCAGCTTGATAATCATACCACCCTTCCTACCAGTCTTCCTATTAAAGGAATAAACCAGTTCTTGAAGGATGAGAATATTGTCCGATCCACGTCTCCCAGGCACAAAACTAGCTTGGCAAGGAGAGATGATGGAATCTAGAAGGGGTTTGAGCCTGTGGACAATGATCTTAGAGACAATCTTATAGTTGACATTACACAAACCAATAGGCCTGAACTGATTAATGTTGACAGGACTACCCACCTTTGGGATCAAAGTGATCAAGCATTCATTCCATTTAGGGGGGACAGTACCTGACATAAAAATCTGTTGGATGTCAAGGAGGATGGTATCCTTGACAGAGTGCCATAGCTTTTGATAGAAGAAGGGGTGAGTACCATCCGGGCCAGGGGCTTTAAAGGCCTTCATGGAATACACAGCCTTCCTAATTTCAATTAAAGATGGAGGTTCAGCCAAATCATCGGGGAGATCCAGAGATTGAGGAGTGGTAGTTTGAATCCAATCATAAGAATCATGAAAGGAATGGGAAGCGGGAGACGAAAAGAGAGTAGAAAAATAGTTGGTCACCATATGATTTAGCTGCACAGAATCAGTAATCCAATCCCCCTCTAGATTATTCAACCCATGGATTCTATTCATGGCTCTATGTCTCATGGTAGTAATATGGAAAAAGCGAGAGTTTTTATCCCCATCCACAATCCAATCAGATCTGGATTTAAGGAACCAAAGATCAGCTTCACATTTAAGAATATCAGAGTATTCATGGGACAGATCTTTCTCCAGGTCAAAGAGAAAGTTGTTGTGATTAATGGAGAGCGACTTATGGATACCTTCCAAACGAGCAAGGATGACCTTTTTTCGTTTGAATAAGTTACCAAACGTATCACGACTCCATAATTTGATACTAGTCATAGTAGAAGCAAGACAGGAAGAGGTATTGCTGTGAGGGTGAGACCAAATCCTATCAACAATATCAATAAAATCGGGGTGATCAAACCAGAATTTCTCATATCGAAAGGGTCTTTTACCAATAGATGGTATACGAGGGGTAAGGTTCAGCAAAATGGGATTATGGTCAGAGATGAGCCTAGGGAGGTGATATACTGTAGCTTCAGGGAAGAGGGTTCTACAACTAGAATTACACCAGAACCTATCAAGACGTTCCCTAATAATGCGGGAATTCCGCATATTAACCCAAGTATATTTCCCCCCCACGTAACCCATATCCATCATACCACAATCACACATACAAGAAAGATAAGCATTAACTCTCAACTGGTTAATAGGGTTACCCCCAAATTTCTCCCCTTGTTCGGTGACATCATTAAAGTCACCAGCTATAATCCAGGGGAGATTAATATGCTTAGCCATATCAGATAATTCATGCCAGAGAAGAGACCTAATATCAAACTGAGGTCTGCCATACACACCAGAAAAAAACCATTCAAAATTAGAGATGACAGAATGATTACATACCTTTACCATAGCGTGGATAGCTTGATTGCTGGAGAAGATAATATCAATACTCACTTTGTTGGCATCCCATAATAGCCATATACCTCCGGCAAGACCATCTGAATCCACAACATGACAATTCGGGAAGATTCTGGATGCCATATTGTGTGCTCTTTCACCATTGAGCTTGGTTTCCATGATTAACATAATAGCAGGGGAGTGGATCCTTTTTAGCTCCAACACATGATTGAGAGAGTTCTGATTAGCCGCTCCGCGGCAATTCCAAGAGACGATCTTCATATTCCACGAGCTTATGAAAGTAGAACCCAAGGCACTAAGTGCTTCCATCTGGCACAGAATTGGTGATGGGTTGGACGGTTGGCTGAGCACCATCTGCGCAAAGGGGAAGTAGTACGGGATCACCAGAAATTCGTGATCCATCTCTTGTGGGGTCATCGGGTTGAATAGGCTCCGAATGAACAAGTGCATCTCCTTCATCTCCCCTATTGCCTCCAAGATGTTCAGATGAGGCCTGGTGGATGGACAGTACACTTTCAGAGGGGAGATACGAGTGAGTGCTCTGTCTATGTTGGCGTCGTCGGAGTTGTAGCTTAGATCCAGCACCGAGAGAAGATCGATCTTTCCTCTGCGATCTGATTCCAGTGTTCGATAGAGGGGTAGGAACCTCCGTGGGTTGATCGCCTTCGGCACCAGGAGAGGTGAGCGCCAAGATGCTGAGATGCGGTTCATGGTCCAGAACGGTGGTTGGGGGGATGGGGTTTGGATTATCTGTTGTAGAGCACTCTCCAACCGAATCACTTGACCCTCGCTCACCAAAAAAGCTTCGAGGCTGCTGCTCATATGAAGAAGACGGGTTGATGGGAAATCCACCACAATGCAAAGAGTTGTTAACAATGGTGGTCTGTGGGGGGTGGGGGGGATTGGTGTTGACTTGTGGGGTAGAGGGGATAGGGATTGATAGAGGTTGTCTCGGTTCAGGGTCCCGGGGAAGCTGTGTATCTTGATGTTGGGCCATATGTGGCTTAGGGGATGTGGGAGTAGGCTTGGGAAAAGCGGGCTCATCTTGGGCACTCAATCCTTTAGGATCAATGGGCTTAGCAGATGGGTAAATGGGTCTATAGACTTGGCCTTTAGGACCTAGCTTAGGATTGGGTCTCACAGTATTAGAAGGGCCATTCTTTGTTTGAATTTGGAGACTCGACGTACTAGCCGTTGGTTGAGTAACCAGAGAGTGGGCGGCATTTATGGTGATAGACCTGAGTCCGTTAGAAGCAGCTGGTTGATAGGATGGCTGCCTCTCCTTGCTCTTTGGTTTGATTTGACGGATCGGGTCATCAGTTGGGTCGGAAATACTCACCATTTTTCCTGTTCCTGATTGCAACGCCGTCGCCGGCACTTCCTTCTGTTTCACACCATTTTGGTTACTGGTGTTCTTCCCTCTTGGACCTGGTTTCTTTTTCCTTCTTTCAACAACAATCCATGGGCCATAGGGTTGAACCTCAGGCTGTAGGTTTGTGACCGAGGTAGAAGGTGGAGCATTGAAGGTCAAAGCAGAGTCCCTTGCTGGGTCCATACTGCTGGAGTTACCCGGCCTCATTAACTCTTGTCCCACCATTCCATGTTTAGAACTAGCAGAATTTCCTGTGCATTGGCTTTCTTTATGGCCAATTTTGCCACATTTAAAGCAGAGAGTTTGGATTCCCTCATATAAAACTCTTTGCTTATGTTTCCCAATTCTGACGTGGGTAATCAGGGGCTTGTTGATGTCCACTTGAACGCATAAACGGGCATATTGGCCCCTGGTATGATGGATGGTGTGTGCGTCGACCCTTAACAGATTCCCGATTTTGTTTCCAATGCGAATTAGAGTTTCTGGATCATAGAACTCTGTAGGTAATTCGGGAAGTCTAGCCCAAATAACTGTCGTTGAGAATGTGGCTTTGGCTGGATTGAAATTTGGTTCCCACCGTCTAATAGTTAGGTAATAGGGGCCAACAAACCAAGGACCTCCATAGACAACTTTGTGCAAGTCATTCTCGTCCTGAAACCGAACAAGAAAGAAGTCGAGTCCCAGGTCAATACATTCCCATTTACCTTTAGGTTTCCATTGTGCTTTGATGCGTGGGTAGATGAAGGAGTAGCCCACTGATTCTGCAAAAGCAGCCTTAATGATGATAGAATTTACCCACGGAAGCCGGATTCTTTTCTTGTTGGCCTTTGAGAGAAGAACTGATGGTATGTTTTCCTCACTGGCCTCCTCCACATCAGAATCTTCATCAAGATAGTTAGACTGTGTGGAGAATTCAATGATGGTGGGGTCATTATCCTCTTTGCGGAGGAGATCCGCAAAGGATAACGAAGTAGATATATCCATGGCGTCAGGTACCACGGCAGCTGGGGGTTGTTCTGCACTCTGAGTCGCCGTTACCGACGACTCGTGAGGTTCTGTCATAGTGATTTCAGAGCATACACCATTGGGTCTTATGATGGTATTATTCTTGATTTTCTTCACACTTCGAGCCAGAAGATCAGCCTCCTGTAAGGATGGGAAGGACGAATCGGAAGCTAAATTTGAGAGAGTTCCGGAGGTCATTGTTTAAGTGATTTTGCTTATTGAAGTTTGAAACTCTCTTTTGCTTTGGTTTTGTTTTATGTTTGTTTGTATTAGTATATAATCTCCATGAAAATGCACAAATAGCAGAAATATAGTGAATTTGGAGTTTTGGAGTCCCTTGGACCAAACAAAGAAACTTCATGAGTCAAGGGGAACTTAAAAATCTAGATTTTTATAGACTCATGTTGTAGCCTATGAAGTATGTATCTTGGGTTATAGATCATCATATTTTCTTCTATTGTCTTTTTCACCTTTCTTTTTGGAATGTTTATGGTTTGGATTATTAGTTTATGAAATTAAGTTTAATGGTTTGGGTGATGTCAACAAAGAAGATGTAAATTTTGGATGCAGTTCAAAAAACAAAGAAGATGTAAAGGATTTCAACTATAAGTGTGGGCTTAGAGTTATTGGAAGCATTGGGCAATTAGTATCTATGATTCTAATAATATTGACTAGCAGTTGGCATGAAATGGATTAGGTTACATTTTTGAGAACAAAACAGAAGTAATATTTAGATTTTAGCCTACCCTTATACTAGTGGAAACCCTTTCCATCTTTTTTTTGTTGAGATCACCAAAAGCATCAAACTTGATTTCATAAACTAAAAATGCAGTCGGCCTCGTATTTTACTTGAGAAAATGAGGATCATTTTACATTACAAAATAAATACTATACTTACAGATTGAACCTTGGCAAGTCAAAAATATAAAGGGTGCATTTTGCCACCTCCACTGACGCGGCAAATGCAAGTTAAAGTAATATACATATATATATATATATATGTATGTATGTATGTATTGAAAATGAAAAATTATGAGAACTGAAAATTTTTAAGTGGTTTGTAAAAGTCAAATTTTCGATCAATACAATTTAAACATTTAGGTTTAAAAACGAGTTACTGGATCAAAAAACTTTTTAAGTAGAAGTAATATTTGATTTCATATATAGTTGAGTTTTAAATCAAATAGAGAGAAAGGTATATATATTTAGTATGGTAAATCACATTACAGGCCCTTGATCTTAATTATAGAAAATCTCAGTCATGCGTCTGTACACCTAGAGTTTGGAGCTCATTTACTATTTGCAAGCCATTGATTTTTCCTTTTAAAAAAAAAAATTTAACACTGCTACATCATCACACGGTTAAGGAAGATACTACTTAGATAATTCCTTCATTTACTTTTAATAATTTAAATTT